TAAAAATAATCATTCATTGATCTTGTCACAGTAACATTAATTTAAAACTGTGAATATAAAGCTCAATATTTACTTGAAATGGCAACTGCATATTGACATTGTGCCTTGTATGTTACAGAAGTTAGATATTAAATTTATTTTCCTAAGTATATAAATATTTTATTTTCACTTTTCAGTTACCCCCATGATGCATAAAATGAACAGTGTGCACGCCAAAAAAAAAGTTCGCCAGTATTCAGATGAGTACTTGCTGTTTGGGTTCATACCAGCGACTCATGATGAAAGGTTGCCTTTTTGTCTGTTGTGCCACCAATGTTTGACTAATGAATCCATGAAGAGAGGTTGTCTCAAAAATCATTTGAAGGCAAAACACAGTATTCATGTTAATTCAAAACTGGAGTATTTTAAATCCCTAAAGGAGAAGTTTGAAAAAAGATCAACAATAAATTCATTGTTCTCTGCAAGAAGTGCAAGCAAGGATCGTGGTCTTGAGGCTAGTTATGAAATTTCTCTTCTCATAGCAAAATGTGGCAAAAATCATACAATAGGGGAGAATTTAATTAAGCCCGCAATATCAACTTTTCTGAAAGTAGTTCTTGAAAAAGATGACCAAGATCTCAAAAGCATGCCGCTCAGTAATAATACTGTTAGTAGCAGGATTGATGAAATGAGTTGTGATGTAGAAGTACAACTTGTTGAAAAATTAAAATATACAAATTTTTCAATACAGTTGGACGAATCAACTGTAAGAGATAGTGAAGCTCTGTTAATGGCCTATGTAAGATATGTTGATAATGGAGAATTTATTGAGGATATGCTATTTTGCGAAGCATTAGAAACCACCACTATTGCAATTGATATATATAAGAAATTAAAAACATATTTAGATGATAAGCAGATACCAATGGAGAACATTATATCTTGTGCTGCAGACGGTGCTCCAGTGATGATGGGCAAGAAAAATGGAGTTTTAAAATTATTGAAAGACGGCAATCCCCAAATGTTGTTAGTGCATTGTGTTATTCATAGACAGAATTTAGTTTCCAAAAAAGTTTCCCCTGTTCTAAACGAGACATTGAATGCAGTTATAAAATGCATCAACACTCTAAAAGCTAATGCCAAATGTGAGCGTCTTTTCAAACAATTTTGCAAGGATCAAAATGCAGACTATGTAAGATTATTACTTCATACTGATGTAAGGTGGTTATCAAAGGGGAATTGCCTGAAAAGATTCATGGAATTATTTGATATTCTTAGTGAGTTCTTGGATGACAAACCTTATATGACTCTGTTACTGACAGTTGATGGTAAAGCACTTGTCAGTTATTTAGCAGATATATTTAAAAAACTCAATGTCTTAAATAAGGAGCTCCAAGGAACAAATATGACTCTTGTTAATTCAAAGGCCAAGATATTTGGCTTTATATCATTTCTGGAATTATCCCAAGAAAATATTTCTGTCAAAAAATTTGAACAATTTTATTGGCTGAATAAATGTGAGGTAACAGATGCTACTTGTCTTGTTATTGTGGAGCACTTAAAAATAATGGTAAGCGATTTCAACTTCAGATTTTCTGATTTGAAAGAAATTAATTATCCATCTTGGATGACTCAGCCATTGCTAGTGGATCTGTCAGATGTAACCATGGAGTATCAAGGAGAACTTTCAGAATTACAAAATGATGACTCGATTAAAGCCCTGTTCAAAATAAAAGGAACAATGATGTGGCTCTGTGAAGAAACACAAGCTAAATATCCAAATACAAGTAGTTTGGCAAGAAAACTACTGTTACCATTCCCATCGTCATACTTAGTGGAATGTGGATTTAGTGCTGTGAATGACTTATTACTGAAGAAAAGAAACCGACTGGATATCACTAAACGAGGCGACTTGAGATTGAAATTAACAAAATTTCTGCCTCGGATAAAATCTCTTTGCAGTAGACATCAGGCTCAAGGGTCTCATTAATTGATTGTAATTGAATTTATTTAATCTGATGGTAGATATGTTATACACATTATAAAATGGATTTGATTTGATTAAATTTGAAGTTAAACCCTTTAGTTTTATTTGAAAGATACAATTTTTTATGTTATACTTCTTCAAAACTGATATTGTTATATCATACTAAACAATTAACGGGTGGGGGACATGAAGAAATTTGTGATAAAAAAGTGAGGCATGGTACTAAAATGGTTGGGAACCACTGCATTAGAGGAAATGGTGAGGCCTTGCATATCTTGTTTAGAATTTGGCAGGTGAGAGCAGCGATCCAATCCCTGTGCATTAGAAACATACACTGGCGACTGACGGCAATTGGAGATGATTGGCCATGTACCGCCACATCACGCCAAGAAAGACAAAGTAGTGCACGCCTAGTCACCTAATTGTCTACTAAACGAAGCAATTTTCATAATGATTATTATTATAACAGAACTCAATGCTGAAAATACTGTAAGAACATAAACATCAAAACAAATGCATCGTCGGCTGTGAAGTCCTCCATATTAGCCATAGAATCTTATCATTATAAAAGAGGCAACATTTACTATAACCTAACCGGTGAATTTTCAGTCATGCACTGGTCTTTCTCTCCCTGTTATTAATATGGATTTCGTAATGTTTAGACAATTAACGGAACAGGTCTTTGTGCAGGGGTGGCTATAGTGATAGGAGACTTATTATTGGGCAAGAGTTTTTGTCCAAAATGGGGGGTTGGGTTGGGTTTTGTTGGTTGATATTTTATGTGAGATTTACTAAAAAAAAAAATTCTGTTAAGATTGTTGGGGGGGGGTATCTCAAAAACTAGTGATTTAAGGTGGGAATGAATATCAAATTCATTTAAAGTTCATCAAATACCATAGGAAAAACATATTTCTAATATCAAAAGAAAGACCAGTCCCAGATGTAAACAAATCATGGCAACACTTGTGACAGGCTCTAATAATATTGAAAAATTAATATCTCGGTTATCCCTAATTTCTGGCGGAAATATCAAAGAAGAAAAATGTCTTACAATTGTCTAAACATTACGAAATCCATATTAATGACAGGGAGAGAAAGACTGGTGCATGACTGAAAATTGACTACCTAACCTAACCAACCAAATACACCTAACTAACTGTACCTAACTTCCTAGCCCATTGGCAGAACCCCCATCATATTAAACAGAAAGTACTTAGCCAATCAGAGTGCACTCATGGCAAAATAGTGTTAGTAGGTACTTAACCGGTCATGGCACAGTATCCACTATGATGTTCTGCAAAACTGGCATCCTAACCATCAAATTTTCTAAGAACACTAAGGTATACCATGAGTAAGCATAATCGAAACGAAACTGAATGCCGACACAAGTGTTTTGGTTTTCAAGACAAAGTTTTGGGTGTCTAATATTTGTAAGCAACTATTAAACGATAGAAACATCGTGATTTTAAACCAATCACAGTATCAAAAGGGCCACACTGAACTTCTACATTAACTTCAGTGACCTGTATACTCTTACATCGGTATTTCTGCGTTAGTGCACACAACTTTCCTACCCCAAATCTATTAACATATTTGAATAAGATGTCTAATTTTAAGATAATTTTCTTCTATTACATTACTGTCACAAATGTATAATAACGGAGCTAGCGCATGCCTGATAATTATCTTTTTTCTTCCATTAATCTTCCGTCATTATCACCTACTACCTGAACTCCCACCCTGCGTATTTCCTTCATAAATAATCATACGCATGCGTTCCCGTATACGTCACGTGGCCAATCAAAAGGGTTTTTTTTTCCACCAATTTAAATGATTTGTGGTTTAATTTGTGGTATCTTTTGCCCAATCAGATTCGATTTATATTTTGGGTCTCAAATTTTGAAATTCAAATCCATTTCCGACCATGGAAGTTTGTGATGGATGTCACCTCAATTGTATGGATTTGATTGCGCCGTTTTGTGGAAAAAAAATAACAAGCTATGTTATTTATTAGATCTCATCATGTTGTCCCGACCTCAGTTGTGTCCTAAGTGTATGAACGAATGTAAATATCGTCAAGACCAACATATGTGGCATTGTGGTAATTCGTTCCTCATTCCCAAGACAAAGAAGAGACGGTGGTGTTCGTACACCGTCAGTGATTACAAATGGAATTTTTTTAGAAAAGTGCTATTTTCACCTGTACTAATCTCAGATTTGAATGACGAACCAGAACCAGGCCAATAAGGTAAGAAATAAGTGATTCCATCATATGGTGAGAGTTAGGTTAGGTTATTTTAGGTTAGGTTAGGTTAGGTTAGGTTAGGTTAGGTTAGGTTAGGTTAGGTTAGGTCAGGTCTGGTCAGGTTAGGTTAGGTTTATATGCCTGTTTTTCTAGTGTTTTTTGTGTATAGGTACTTTGTATTCAATTGGGCATAATTTTGGTCGGAAAACGACCCACCCAAAACCCCCTATAACTAAAAAAACAGGCAATTTCCGACGGAAATCAAGGTCAAAACCCACAAAAATACACTAGAAAAACATAGTTTTGACTTTCTAACAGAGTTGTGTGCACTAACGCAAGTTTACCTCTGCATTCTAACCTAAATTTTTTTGTAAGATCACTGAGGTATGTCATGAGTAAGCATAATCGAAACGAAACTGAATGCCGACACAAGTGATTTGGTTTTCAAGACAGTTTTGGGTGTTAAATATTTGTAAACGACTATTAAACGATAGCAACGTCGAGCCTCTAAACCAATCACAATATCAAAAAGGACACACTAAACTTCTACATTAATATCAGTGACTTGTATACTTACATCTTTCTGTAATTTTACCAATTCTAAATGACTACAGTCACTTGCACTGTTTCAGTTTACTTCTTACTGTTACTACTTAACACTGGAGCCAGAGTACCCTTGTCTACCCGGTAGTGTTGTGCAAGGAATATATTTCTAGGCCATATGAGTCATATGACTATGTTGAACTAAAATGGAAATTAAGCTAACCAACGGAGTGCACCGTTACTTACTGAAAATAACCGCAATAACTTGTTGGTAATAACATAACTTAGTAGCCTGCAGTGTAAACAAATGACGTATAATGTGGGCAGCGCGATTCATCCCAAGGAAAATCAAAGAAAAAAAGCATGACTGATGTCTCCCTTTCTTTAAATATGCAATGATTGTGCGTCTTAAACGTCACCTTTACATGAATCCGTGTTTACACTTGATTTTACTCCTTATAGAAAGGTCATTATTATCCGTTGATGTATATGTTTGGTAAGGAATATTCAATAACGGAGTATAACTCTCCCTTAAAACCATTCATTTTAATGATTCGCCAGTCAGACATTCCTTGGCGAAACCATAGCATAGAAAACGGTCATAAAAGGAGAGCACACTATTACTTTTTCTTGAGCTACATTATCTTTTTCTTTTCTTTTTTTCTTTTATCCTCTTCACCAAATGATCGACTCGTTAGCCGCTTGGGCGATCGGTCACGTCTCTGTTACGCACTGTTGGCAAGTACTGGGCATACACCAGCCCCGGAATGTACCTGAACCTGGTCAAGTTTGGTCTTGAAAGAGCTCACACTCGGTACCGTCACAACACTTTCTCTTTCTGGTAGATTGTTCCAAGAGTTCACAACTCTCACCCCGAAAAAGTTTGCCCTCACAGTTTTCTGGACTTGCGGCTTCTTCAATCTTGAACTGTGTCCCCTTGTGGGACGAGCGTCCGCCAGCTCCAAGTAAGGACACTCGACTGAGTAGTGCCCCTTGAGATGCTTATACACCTCAATTAGGTCACCTCTTGCCCGTCTGTAGTATAAGCTAGGCAAGTTCAGGCGCTCCAATCTCTCAGGGTAGCTGAGATGCCGAAGTGAAGGCACCAGTCTGGTGGCCCTCCTTTGAACATTTTCAACCAACTGACAGTCCCTAGCATATCTGGGTGACCAGACAGGATGACAGTACTCCAGATGGGGAAGCACTTCACTCTTGAAGATCGTTACGAAGGACGGACCGTCTAGATATCTGAACGACCTTCTTATAAGACCCAATAATTTATTTGCCTGATTTACCTTCTTCTCGCAATGGCCCGAGAACTTCAGCTCATTGTCAACATACACAACTAGATCCTTCTCATATTCAGTCTCAAATAGTGCAGTTTCTTCTTCCCGTTGGGACATATGATGCGCCTCCTTACCGTTGGTACACCCCAGATGCATCCTCTTACACTTCGTGACATTGAATCTCAGCAGCGATTTCTTCGACCATTCTTGGAGCCCACAGAGGTGAGCCTGACCAGCATAATATGTAAAGTACTTGAGAGTATTATCAGAGATGCCGCAATGGAACATCTAATAGAAACAATCTTGTAAAGGATTCCCAACACGGTTTCATGCCGGGGCGCTCCTGCTTAACACAATTGCTCAAGGTATTGGATATTTGGATCCATATTCTGGAGCGGGATGGTAATATCGACAATATTTACCTAGATTTTGCCAAGGCTTTCGACAGTGTACCCCATGAAAGGCTAAAAATAAACTGGAATGGTATGGAATTCGGGGAAATGTCCCAGCATGGATAGAAGACTTTCTACATGACCGCAAGCAGTGTGTGGTGATTAATGGCACGAAATCGTCATCCGTACCTGTCACAAGTGGGGTACCACAGGGCAGTGTTTTGGGCCCGCTGTTGTTTGTTTATTTCATAAATGACATGCCTGACTTTGTACACTCCTCCATACAAATGCTTGCCGATGTCGCTAAGTTATTTCGGGAAATTAAGACCAAGCGGACTGTCAAGAGCTGCAGAAGGACCTTTGTGGGCTCCAGGAATGGTCGAAGAAATGGTCGCTGAGATTCAATGTCACGAAATGTAAGAGGATGCACTTGGGGCGCACGGTAAGGAGGCGTAGAATATGTCCCAACGGGATGAAGAAACTGCACTAGTTGAGACTGAATATGAGAAGGACCTAGGTGTGTATGTTGACAATGAGCTGAAGTTCTCGGGCCATTGCGAGAAGAAGGTAAACCAGGCAAATAAATTATTGGGTCTTATAAGAAGGTCGTTCAGATATCTAGACGGTCCGTCCCTCGTAACTATCTTCAAGAATGAAGTGCTTCCCCATCTGGAGTACTGTCACCCTGTCTGGTCACCCAGATATGCTAGGGACTGTCAGTTGGTTGAAAATGTTCAAAGGAGGGCCACCAGACTGGTGCCTGCACTTCGCACCTCAGCTACCCTGAGAGATTTGAGCGCCTGAACTTGCTTAGCTTATATTACAGACAAGCAAGGGGTGACATAGTTGAGGTGTATAATCATTTCAGGGGGCACTACTCACTCGAGTGTCCTTACTTGGAGCTGGAGGACGCTCGCCCCACAAGGGGTCACAGCTCAAGATTGAAGAAGCCACAAGTCCAGAAAACTGTGAGGGTAAAATTTTCAGAGTGAGGGTTGTAAACTCTTGGAACAATCTACCAGAAAGTGTTGTGACGGCATCGAGTGTGAGCTCTTTCAAGACAAGAATTGACCAACACTGGAGCGGGTTCAGGTACATTCAGGAGCCGGTGCATGCCCAGTACTTGCCAACAGTGTGTGATAGAGACGTGACCGATCGCCCAAGCGGCTAACGAACCGTTCAGTGGTGAAAAGGATGAAACAAACAAAACAAAACAAAACATAGACCGGTGAGCCTGACCAGCATAATATGTAAAGTACTTGAGAGTATTATCAGAGATGCCGCAATGGAACAGCTACTACAAAACAACCTTGTTTGGCCAACATAGTTTTATGCCGGGGCGCTCCTGCTTAACATAATTGCCCAAGGTATTGGCTATTTGGACCCATATTTTGGAGCGGGGTGGTAATATCGACAATATTTACCTTGATTTTGCCGAGGCTTTTGACAGTGTACCCCACGAAAGGCTGAAAATGAAACTGGAAGGGTACGGAATTCGGAGAAATGTCCGAGCGTGGATAGAAGACTTTCTACATGACCGCAAGCAGTGTGTGGTGATTAATGGCACGAAATCATCATCCGTACCTGTCACAAGTGGGGTACCACAGTGCAGTGTATTGGGCCCGCTGTTGTTTGTTTGTTTCATAAATGACATGTCTAACGTTGTACACTCCTTCATACAAATGTTTGCCGATGACGCCAAGTTATTTCGGGAAATCAAGAACCAAGCGGACTGTGAAGAGCTGCAGAAGGACCTCTGTGGGCTCCAAGAATGGTCAAAGAAACGGCTGCTGAGATTCAATGTCACAAAGTGTAAGAAGATGCACCTGGGGCATGCTAACGGTAAGGAGGCGTATCATATGTCCCAACGTGATAAAGAAACTGCACTATTTGAGACTGAATATGAGAAGGACCTAGGTGTGTATGTTGACAATGAGCTGAAGTTCTCGGGCCATTGCGAGAAGAAGATAAATCAGGCAAATAAATTATTGGGTCTTATAAGAAGGTCGTTCAGATATTGTTACGAACCCCTCCACCCCGCACTACGAACCACGCCATCTATTGTCCTGATCTACCTACCCACCACCACGAGCAACGCCATCTAGGGACGAGACACGTGTATGACTCGTCTTAGTTACCACTCCGAGGTTTCCCTTCTCCATATCCTGGGTTGCGTCACCTCCTCAAAGTCTTCTTTGTCAGCTCCAATTCGAGGAGAGGCACTTGGCTCTGGGAAGTGACCACAGGATCATCTATCCTCTAAACCTACGTGCAGTGACTACCTACCGTCTTCTACAATACTCAGCCTTACTCGTCAGCCATCTCAGCTCCTCACTTAAGTACATGTATCTTGTATTACCTCCCCCACGTCCACTTGCTTCAAAATTGTTTATGTTGTATTAATATGTATATACTGTTAATGTTTAGGTTAAGTTTGGTTAAGGGTAATTTATAAGCTGAATATTTTGTTAAGGGATTTATGGTACTCTATTATATACAACGAAAACTCGCATCCTTTGTCTACCCTTTTATAGTCCGATTGTCTTTGTTTTTTTTTTTATTGTTGTTACCTGTTGGGATCTGGGTAGACGTATAACTGTATTCTAAATCCCCAACTCGTAACAATATCTAGACGGTTCGTCCCTCGTAACAATCTTCAAGAGTGAAGTGCTTCCCCATCTGGAGTACTGTCACCCTGTCTGGTCACCCAGATATGCTAGGGACTGTCAGTTGGTTGAAAATGTTCAAAGGAGGGCCACCAGACTGGTGCCTGCACTTCGGCACCTCAGCTACCCTAAGCTGGTTCAGGTACATTCAGGAGCCGGTGCATGCCCAGTATTTGCCAACAGTGCGTGACAGAGACATTACCGATCGCCCGGGCGGCTAGCGAGCCGATCTTTTGGTGAATAAGATTAATAAAAAGGAAAAGTAATTAGAGACGTGACGGATCGCCCAAGTGGCTAACGAGCCGATCAGTGGCGAAGAGGATAAAAGTAACTATACAAAACATACGTCTGGTAACGATACAGAAAACACTTACTTTATATTAATTCTTTCACTGGGTAAATGATAATTTCACTGTTACAACAAAAACACTGATATTCACAAAATTGACTAATTTTGGAGAACGTCAAAGAACGTCAAAGAAGTGACGTCTCTCCTGTGCAAGAGCTTAAATACTGCTAAATGGCAACTCAACACCTGCCAGAAATGGCTACTCACGCAATGACAGAAATTACATTCAAATCAACTGCTACACATTTAAAATATGGCGCACAGTTGTCATGGGTCAGGCGAATTTCTTTAGTCGATTTACATAATCTAATCAGAGATTGAGCTTGCCAGGAAAAAGTGGAATATACACGTTGACAACTGTTAGTTGGGCGGGACTTATAGACGAGGAGCCTTTATACATGTACAGTCACGTTCAAAATTCTTCGAACACTGCTGGAGACAGCTGGCAACTCAAGTCCGTTTGTTTACTATACTAGTAGCAAATATTATGAATGAATGTAAAAGTGATCCGTGGTTGGATACTTAGTTCCCAGTTGCATAATTAATGGTTGGGCTTTGTTGTTTCGCATTATATTGTGCCTTTCTGCTAGTATATAGCCTACTGTTAATTTTATTTTAAAATGGATAGAGCAATAAGCCAACCTATATGAATTTATATTTAGATAAATAAACATAAGTAAAAATCGTTGAGTATGTTAAAGAACATCATGCATCGGGCACAGCTGTGTGCAGGCTGTTTATAAGTTTGCCTGTTTATCATTAATTTATACTAATATTGTCTTCAAACGTTTAATCCCTTTCGGGTAATTAATCGAGTTGTATCTAACCGACGCTAAACAAAACTTCTTTCTAAAGACGCTGATTTCTTGCAACACAAACTGCTGTTTTACTTCCGTGTGTGTGCGTGTGCGCATGTGGAGTGTGTGTGTGTGCGCATGTGGAGTGTG